CGTCGCGGTTTCGGTTCGCAGACGACGCAAATTTTGGTGATTTCACGTTGTTGTTTTGTAAAGGACGGCTAAGAAATGTACTAAGTTTTACAATGCACGTGCTGACCTATTGTTCTGCCGATTAGATCTTTTGTTTTCTCACGTCCTCGTCGCCGTCGTGGTTTGCTTAAGGTCCCTCTTATCAACCAGGGACCGCGGAGACCATTTTAAAGTGGTAGACTAAAACAATCTGGCCAGTACAAACAAACGCCGAGGAAGTGTTCGTCACTTATCTTGCACAGCTTTACCGAGCGTTTGGCTTGAGGCAAATGTGTAAGGGAAGACGCGTTTTATTACTTTCAAGTAGCAAAATCCATATTCTGTCCATCTCAACTGGAGCCCTAAAAAATAAATCCCAGCAATAAAACTGGTAGGGCTGTAGCCCTACCAGCCCCTCCGCGGTCCCTGTCACCTTAGTTGATAAAACCAAATTATCATGTTACCCCCACCGACGTAGCACCACAGTTTCTTTAGAAACTAACCCCCTTAATTCATAGGTCGAAATAGGTTGCCATTTACGCTTTAGATAAATCAATAAAGAGATGGAATTCAAGCTTTTTTAAGAACACTTCTTACGCAAATGAATGATGGCAGGGATCTTTTCACGTAGAGTAGACATCAATAGAAGGTAGTTCTCAACTTCAAGAATGTTTTAAATTCATTTGATATCTTTGAAGATAAAATGTTTTTATCAGCGTATTTTACCTAGGTGAGGGGTTGTCGCTCATTGTAGTTTTTGAAAAAGAATTGCAAAAAGCTGTCTTGCAAAAATATGAACGGTACTCCAAACGCTACCTGTAAAATAAATTTAGGAAAATTTATAAATGGTTATACTATCATTTAGTTGTGAATATCTCTTATGTGGATCCTTAGAGGTAACTTGAAAAGAAGAAACTGAGGAGGGGTGGGAGTGTACTTGGGTACTCAGAGGTAACTTGACAAGAGGAAACTAAGGAGGGGTGGGAGTGTACTTGGGTACTAAGAGGTAACTTCACGAGAGGAAACTGAGGAGGGGTGGGAGTGTACTTGGGTACTCAGAGGTAACTTCACAAGAGGAAACTGAGGAGGGGTGGGAGTGTACTTGGGTACTCAGAGGTAACTTGACAAAAGGAAAATGAGGAGGGGTGGGAGTGTATTTGTGTACTCAGAGGTAACTTAACAAGAGGAAAATGAGGAGGGATGGGAGTGTACTTGGTTTTAGAGAGATGATTTCATTCGAGCCACTGTTTAGATCTCGGATCCTAAACAATCGAGATCAACAATCCATGTGACTGCCCCTCTACCAATGATACTTACAAAGAGAGGATAACGCAACCTTTGAATGCTGATATACCGAATCTCTTTCAATGTTCGTGGAACGCTATACCGTGACGAAACTACATGCCACTAAGGGATCACTTGCGTCGAGCAATTTTGTATCGGCTTTGACACATTTTCGGTCTACGAGAAGCTGGAAATAAAAGAGAACTCTTCAACCTTTGTATTCGAACTCACTCGAATTATGCTTCTACGAATCGTCCAACTTGTAGCTACCCTTCATGTAACTTCTTAGAAAATTTGCAAATGCATAGTTACTTTTTCGGTTACATGAAATTCAACAACCTGCTTAGAAAATCAGAAAGATCAGTAAATAGACGAGTTTATTGTCACATCGAAACATAAACATTGCTCCCGCAAAACTCAAATTATCGCCAATCCGTAATATGGGTCATATAAGACTCTGAAGGTAATCGTGCTACATGGTAACCCATCGAGTAACCCGTGCACGAGCCTTACCCCCAGGCTAAAAGTGAACGCATTGAATTAGTATACCCTTTATAACACCACTCATTTATCCGACGCATATTCAGCTTTTCGCTGAAATAAAAAAAAGGAAGGCAAGTTGACAGGCCTAATAAAATAATAATGAACTGATAACGATGTTGTAATAAGTTGCAACGTCTCTTAAGAACAAAGCACACGTAGCCATAAAATCATAGTTAATACTCATTACACTTGCCAATCGCTTGTTGAAAATCAGTTGATGTTAAAAGAAGAATTTCTACCCCGGTGATATTTCTAACAGAGATTACTCGAACTGAAGAGTATATTTTCGTGCCCCTCTTCGGGCTTAAGTGTTCTTCCCCACTGATAGACATTCGCCTACGTAAATTAACAATATTGGAGATGTTATTGATAACAGTGATTTTGGTATCCATTTCAAGAAAGCTGAAATTATCTGCAGAATCTTAACATGAAACTATATTTGGTTCAATTGAGCAAAAGCTCTCTATAGATACCTTGAAATTCCTTTGAGTATGCGACTTTTTCTGAGAAAAAATGAAAATTCCACGTTTCGTGGTGCTCGTGAACGCTGCATCTTTGACGAAATACAACTCCAGGAAAGAACATCAAAAAAATAAATCGGAAGATTTCGAGATTGCTTGTGCATTTGCGTAGACAGTAAATCATGATCTTATCAGGCAAAACCCAAACAATATTGGGATGAAAACATCTGTTGCACTGATTAAGAGACAAATCTGTTGTGCACGTTGTTAAAGTTCCCCTTTTAGTTCTGGTTAGGAGAAATGCTGCATTGCAATATATGCCTTACTAATTTTCCTTTTTACGTTTTAGTAAGAAGTACTTTGTGGAAAGATGGAATCCAAACACAAAGTTTCCTTCTTTTTTTTAACGATTTCAACGATCCCCAGAGAAGCTTTTGTAGAGAGGTTTAATTCTTAAATCAAATGATTCGCATCAAGATAAACTTGGTCGCTGAATGTAAAGAGATTCTCTTAGTTTATTATCGCGTAATATAAAGCCTATAGTCGAGAAGCTATATGGGGAACTTTTCTTTATCTAAGATGTTTGACACTTATTTAAATAAGTCTCAGGATGGAAAAAAAAAAAAAGTCCAAAGATGGGTCCTTACTTTTGCTTTTATGTTTTATAACCGGACGAACCTCTCTTATTTACTTGTAAGAATAAATTATGTTGGCGATTTCACACAAAAAGATGAGTATTCTCAGTTTGGTGTCATGATGACCTCAGCAAAAACTCAGATAGATTTTTGTGTCGTGATAATCGCGACCTTACGAAATAATATTATCTTTGAGAACTATTTGTATTCATCAGGAATATAAAATTGAAGATTGTCCAAGCATCACGTAAAGACAGGGGATATATATCGTCAGTCGATTCCAATAATCAAATATATCTTACATGTGTATGGCGAGACTAATCACAAAATTGAAAAGTTTCTTTAAATTTGAAGTTCCTTTCTGTGTTGACTTTAATTCTTGACTTTAAGTCTTAGTAACACTGTTTAGCAGTATAGTGTTATTTTCTCTGGTTAATTGTTGAATGATGAATCAAGTCTCGGTGATTAATATTTTTCTTTCGTTTCACGGAGCTCAGTTCAGTGATCTCCCGTTCGAGTTCTTACAAAAGAGGAATTCAAATTTTAATCAAGTTAAAAGGATTTACACCGAGATAAACTAAGAACCTCTCAACTGTTTACTGTGATATGTAAAGTTTACACGAGGCGTAGTTCAGAGCTTGCACGTATGGCGCTTCTTCATCAAGATATGTCGAGAACTACTTATGTATAAAGATGTCAATTCAGCGCTGAGTTTCTCAAGACTCTCATTTAAGTCTCCGGAAGAAACGAAGTGTCTAAAACGTGTCATTTAATATGTTTTAAGGTTTATGACCGGATAAACCCTTCTAATTTAAGGCTACAGATGGCTCAGTTAAATATAAAGTGCGTGACTTAAAATGCATCCCAGGAAAACTTAATTGACAAAATTATGTTTTCATACTCAGAAAAAGGGGTTCAAATTCCACTCTGCAGGGAAGTTCGATTTAGTTCTTTAAAAAGACGCTCTATGAAACAGCTTCACTCATTATTTTTTACAACTGACTGAGCGAAGATTAAAAAAGGATTAACGTGAACATTATGGGTTCTTTCAAACCCAATTTTATTCTGCAGGGAAGGTCATTCAGAGCTCTGAAAAAGATATCGTGGTGAAAATTTTCCGATATCAACTGCTCCCCAATATTCATTCACAGCAAAACAATGTCTTGTTTCAAAAGTAATTACAACATTAAAACCAGCGAAGGTTTAATTTGCGTCTCTGTTCAAAAGTAGTTAGCTCGATTCACTTTACAAAATGTTATTTTTCGTGCAAACACATGGACAGCCAAAAAAATGCCATGTTTAATTATTAAAAGACATTTAACTTTTAATCTCTCTGAGTTTACCCAGTTTTCTATCGCTTATTTGTGATCGTGTCTTATCATTCCCCGATCGCGGTACCGATGTCTAGGTCTACATTGCCTCTGGTGATTTTAGCTGTTTTGGGACAAATAATTATTCACAAGAGGTTGGCATCGTTGCAAATGAAGAAAAAATATCCAGAAGTGCACACACGGTTTTAATTAGAACGGAAACAGTTTGGAGCAAATTAATGGCAGCACAAAGTCTAAAAAAAAAAAAACTTTACGTGATCCAAAACAAATTTAGTGGAAATGGAAACATCCGGGATATGCCTCATGACGCACGAGTTAAGCGAGGCGTCCTGTGGAGGCTAGGGCTATAAAATTGAATTAACAAGCACTAGTCGACAAAAAAACAAACATCACTTCGAATATAAACAAGTTTTTTGGGGTTGTAGAAACATCTGCCCTAGAGGCCTGAGCTTCAGTTCATGCGATAAATAGATCCATTCATAGATTTCGCAGACAATAAGTCTACCCCTTAAATCAGCGAATTTTTACTTTAAAAGTTCGCGACACGCGGGGACAGCTGAAAAATGAATCGCTTGTTGAGCTGAAAATAGATTACACCGTGAAAGGATATCTCCATGGATTTCATTGTATACGCGATACTTTTCGACATGATTCGTCTGGGTAGGCGCCACTTGGCAGGCTTCGACGGAGTTTATTTCCTATCTTTATTGTTATAAAATATAGCTGTGAACGAATATATTACTTGCCAAATTTACATACACGGAACTCAACAACTGAAACGAGAAAAGCATGCCATGCACCTTGAAAATAAAAATAGCCAAAAATGGCGTTTCATAAAATTTTCTGCGATGAAAGCATGCGTAATAGTCTTCTAGTCCAAGTGAAAAATTGTATCTTTTCTTTTAATTCGCACGAAGCAAGTCTAGAAAACACTTTTCTCAGTAACACGCACGCCACTAACTATGTTGTGGTTCGCGCAAAATTTTGATGAATCATTATGTTTTGTGTACCTGTCAATTGAACCAGTAAAATGGTTTTTCAATTACCGCGAAAAAGGAAACTAAGCTATTTATATTTATCCTCTCGTGTTGGTTGGACATAATTCGCATTTTGGTTAGAAAGGTTATCAGTCATTACCAGGAGATAAAGTGAGCCAGCCCAACTGAGTTGCTAATTCAAGGACAAAGTAACTTAAGTATGATGCCACTCATGCAAGCTTTTGTTTTCCCACAGAAGAATTCCGATTGGCAGAGCTAGGACCGTACAGAGTTTAAAAGGGAGATTCCGAGTCATCAATAGAGCTCATCACGGCTGCGAGCTCTGTTCAACAGACTCACCACGGATGCTTGTCGAATATTGAACGAAAAACATCTGGTCAAGATCGTGTGTTTGTAAGTGAGAGCGCGAAGAGGTACGAGCCAATACAAGGCGCGCAGGCTAGGACATCATGAAATACTGAATTTGAACGAAGGAACAAGTTATTGAATTGCTTTAGGGGGAACCCCACCACGACTCGGCTTTCACAAGCTAATTGAAATTTTGCGATCGCATCGGGACGTACTGTGGCCTACGCGGACTTGTGAATTTATTATCCGTGAAAAAATGGCTAATCAAACAGAATCTACAAAACCGCTCAGCGAAGCAATACCCTTGGGTATCCTTGGCGTTTTAATTACGTTGGAAAATCTCCTGGTCTGCTTTTTGGTGTACCGCTTCCGCAAATTGCGAACTTTCACAAACGGTTTTGTCGTGTCTTTAGCCATTTCAGATATTCTCTTTGGTGCTGTGTTAATTCCAGTGAACCTCGCGGATCAACTTAACCCGGCCAATGGTTATCTGGTGTCGTTCATTCTCTTCGCGAACGTTACCAATTTATTTGCGGTGACGCTGGACCGCTATTTGGCCGTTATGAACTCTCTGCGATATTCTTACACAATGACTAAACATTTTGTCAAAATCTTGCTAACGGCGTGGATTTTACCCATTCCACTGAGCCTTGTACCGTTGTTCTGGAACAACAAGCGGGGTATAACTGCAGAAACAGTCTACCTGTTCTTCATTGTGGGAGGTGTTGTAGTTCCTTATATTTTCATCCTGTTCGCCTACATCAAGATCTTCCGTCAGGTCGCACGACAGGTAAAGAACCTTGCTAAACTTGCAACTTACGATAATCAACAACAGGCTGCTCGCGAAGGTAGACGAGTCACAGGCGAAGCGCGCGTGGCTAGAGTTTTCGCCATGATCGCTGGTATCTTTGTTATAAGTTGGATGCCTGTGTTCTTCATGACCGCCGCGGATGCTGTGGAAAGAAGCAATATCGTCCCGACTGTACTATCGACAATTTCGTGGTACACCATGACAGCAGGGTCGCTGTTGAACGCAGCCGTGTACGCGTTTTTCAAGCGCGACTTTAGGAACGCGTTCCTGCGTCTTTTTCGATGCCGCACGATTTCTCTCGGTCGACATGGTTCTGACGAGGCTATTTCAGGCACAACGCTAAACTGAGCGCAATATTGGCTTTTTTTTTAGATCTTTGTTTGTTTACGCTCCATCCGCATTGTGCGTAGATTGTTCAATAACTTGCTGTAAGGTACGCCTCGAGATCCTGTTCCACTTATCATCGATTCCTGCTGATTTTTTCTTTCAAATTTGTATATCACCAATAGTTAGAATTTGAAATTTCGTTTGTTTTCGCAATCTCAAGTGCTGTACTGCGCTCACGCAGCATAAATCTTTTTAAAATAGTTTTCCGTTTTTTTTTTTTGTTTTTTTTTCAGAAAAGAAAAATTGAAATATTTACGTTACAATTTTTGACTGGGCTGGTGACAACCTAACTCCCATAAAGCTTTTATTAAGGGATTTTAAAACTCAATATGAATTAATTTTTACCTTTAAATCATTCGTGTTAGAGATAATTATAAGCAAAATAAAGTTAGAAGCCTGAAGATTGGCACGATTTCTCTTAAAAAGTAATACATTTTCGAAATCTAAGCGACTTTTTTATTTTTGTAAAGAGTATTTAAAAAACCTGTTAATAGTCTTTGATTCGCTAGTATATTAAAATCTGTAATGTCAACTGAAGCTAAACTACAAAAGAACCGCCGACTTAAAAGGTTGCTTTTTAATACAAAAATCAACACAGCATGTTCATGAAATGAACTCAGTTGGAGAAAGGTGGTATTGTGTATTCTGGTAAACAAACCAAAGCGAATTATTTGCTCATATACGGCGAGACAATGCTTTGGAATCATTACGGTCGACTTTAACAAGTGATTGGCAAGGATTTGCCATAATTACGAGATAAACTGAGATTTTCAGCTCTCTATGCAAAGGTCTCAATTTGTTAATTATTTCTACACATTGAAATGTTAACACGATTAATGTTAGAGGGAAATTTTTTTGTGTAAAAGATGTCAGAAAATGAAAATTATGCATTGTCTTCACGTCAGGTTCACTGTGTGACTTCTTTCTGCTAAAAACCGGTTAATTTTAATGGAATGTTCCTTGGGATGCAGATGACCTCGCGAAACCCGTTGACTGGATCCATATTTCAGTACACAATTTCTTTGGGAAATGCATTTTACCGAGGTTTTGCCCATATCACCCGGCGTTAAATTTGTTGGCGGTTTCCTAGACAAGTTACAACGCTTGTTTGTGAATTAATGATTCCCTGTCGATGATCCATGACCAAAATATTGAATAGTCTCCAAAAATATTATCTGTACCCGAGACTGAAAAAAAAAAGAACCGTCTTTCCTTTAAGAAATAGTTTTTCTAGAGACTCGAAGTCGGACATGTTGTTGACCTAATTTGTCACTTGAAATTCGTATAAATGACATCCAATCAAGCTTCTTGAAAATTAAATTTATAACCAGTGTGAAAAGCTCTTTACCAGTATGAAAGGCTCTCTAAAATGAATACACGTCTTCGACCTTATCTTGATGATTCAATTGAGGCACAAAAGCATAAATGTAAATAGAATGACAATGAAGGTAAATTTTTAACTTCGATGAAGAAGATGCTTTTTAGTTTCCTCTTGTTACGAGAATGGGAGTAAGAAAATATTTTTCCTTGTCTCATGCTCATGATAAGAAGAAAAACATCTTTCTTCTAGAGCATAAATGTCATAAATCTATAACATGCCTTTCCGAAGAAGAATCAGTCACATTTTGTTAGATTGTATCGTCAACTGACAATATGGCTAAAGAGATTGTAAAGGGGAAATCTGTTGGCAGTACGCCGGAATATGTCTTTCGATTGTAAATTTATCAAGTTCAAAAGATATCACAATTTCATCTTAGCAAATCGCAAGAGGTTAACAGGGACACCGCGAAAAATCGCTAAAGAATTTTTTGTAAACAGGGACACCGCGAAAAATCGCTTATTATAAGATTTTTTGTAGTCATATCGACATTTGACCTTTTGGAGAGTTTGCCAATATCATGATTGCGAAAGCTATTTTTCATTTTCTTCTTTATTTGCTCAAAAAAAGTAAATAAGAACTATGGATATTCCATTAGACCAGATTGAGATGCAAAATTCCACGCCTGCTTGTCTTTAAGCATAAACGATGTGTTTTGGAGGGAAATCAAATTAACGAAAAAGCTAAGACGAACTAGATGAATTTCAGCGTGGCCATCTCGGATGCAAGTCAAGTTTTATATCTTTTGATTAAAAAACAAAACTAAATCTGAAAACTAAACATCCAAAAAAAAAAGGAACACAAGTGATTCCCAAGCTAAAAAAGACGGTGAGGTCGTTTCCTTGTAGAATTCAAAAGTGGGATGTAGATTTTCCCGAATCATTTGCGCTTAGGGTTAAATGCGGATTTCCATATGTGCGGCTGTATTCTGCATCAGAGCTTACTAATTACATAAGGATTGAATTAAATTTATTCGCCATTAGTCAAAATAGGAATGGCCGAAAAAGCCACCAAAAAGAAAATAACTCACACTTATCAAAGAAAGAAATTTTAATTCATCGCTGGGGATTTTCATGAAGATTCTCGACCGCTGCGAGGTTTCCCCATTACCTCCCAGATAACTATTGTGATTTATTGTAAAAGGTTTACATTTTCTTTCGTTTATTACTAGTGTTATGAAAAAAGACAAATTACCTTTGTGGATGGAAAAGATAAACGAAAAACACAAAAGTCCTGTGTGACTAGCGGCAGCCGTTTTCTGTTAGGAATGTAAACAATTAAGTTGCAATTAAGATGGAGTAAGTCTGATAAGAAAGGGGAAAGCTAAGTTTCCAATTCATCATGATATGACTAAAATGTAGGGATCTTGAAATCCATAATTTCAATACTTCAACAGAAAAGGAGCTTGAAACTCTCAGCAATTCTGCTTTTCACACAATTCAAATGGAAACAAAAGTCTGGAAAAACGATCTGAGGAGGAGGGCACGTTGTTTTGTCGTCCGTAAAATGCTCTCAGCTTCTCGCCAGTTAGTATATATCATGCCGACTGGATAGCAAAACGCTCATGAAGATACCAGAATAATAAAATAAACGACGGTATCAAGTGGGAAAACATGTCAATTTCAGTGACCAAACTTCAACATTGTCTCTCACAGCAGAAACAAAATTTAATTGATGCAGGTAGGAAGCGACTTTTTTTAAGACACAAACTACTTCCATACATGGTCATAAACATACTAAGCTATTGTAACGCTGCCGCTTGGATATTTAAAAATTTTCCAAGAAATTTCTCCAAAAAAACATTAAAAAAAAGGAGAAACTAGGTCATTGTAAATTTTTAAACGGCGTATTATGATACGCAGAGAAAATCATTCAACGCCCCAAAACTAACGAAATATTTTGACCATATTATTACTAGCTCTTCCCTTCCCGGATAAAGAAAGCTGTTAAAGTTCGGACTTTCCTTGAGATTTCTGATATTTATAAATTGATCTTATTATATGAAGACAAGTTACTTTCTATTCGAATATGGATGATTAACAACCTAAAGCAAAGTTAATTGCATAGATCGCCCACACTTCTTGATTTTGATGAAAAGAATTGAACTCTGGAAACTCTTACTTTGACAAATTACTATAATTTCAGATATAATTTAATTCTAAAAATAAAAAGGGCTTCGGCTGAAAAAAATACCGTGAATACTTAATGAAGACAAATCATGAGCCATTCGGATATGGAAGATTAAAAGCCAAAACCGGAGTTATTTGCATAAATTCCCCAATCATAGAATTAAGATTAAAAGGAAAGAATCGGATTCATAAAAGCGTACCGAAAAACATCCGCCAAATAAAACTCAGCTTAGAGCGGTTATTAGACTACCAGTTCAGTCAAGGTGTGTTCATATTGGATGTGATTGATGTAGGTGCTGTAAGTTTGATAACATTTTCTTTTAGTATAAGAACTGACCTTTAATCTAGAGAGCACTTTATGAAATGATGAATGAGTCATTCAGCGTACTCATCCCATTTTTGTGAAGTCTCAGACTAAGCTGAGTGAAAGAAAAAAAAAAAAAAAAAAAAAACGGTTGAGAAATTTCCAGATCTAAAAACTGATAGAATAGTATCACACAGCTTAGACTAGAATACAAACATTCGTTCATGCAGGGATTAGAAAAAAGAATATAAAACACAACACGGATCCGGCGAACGAGATAACCAAGACTTAATTGAATAATTATTATTCACAAATGGCTTCAGCTCTACACTTAACCATATCTCAGTTGTTAATAGATTTAAGTGGAAGCGCTTAAAAGAAGACTCATTAGTATCCACAACTACTGACAAAAAGTGCTCCAGTGTATTGTAGTGTCTAATTGACCCACAAGAGCTGGAAAAGAGCTTCGATCTAAAAAATATTTTAATCACAATGATATGGGCTTGACACTCCCTGTTCTGCGGCCGAACATCACCATCCACATCAAATTATCTTCAATTTAAGATAATTTTCAGAACGCATGTAGAGTAGGTGCAGTGAACCAGACTTCATGACTTATTCGAAAATTTCCTCTCTTGATTGAAAACCGTAATGTCCGGCATGTAATTTTAAAATAATTTTATAAGTGTACGGAATTAACTGGCCTGGGAATCTAAACTGATGATAATCGTTAGACTGACCACGTTGAAAAAGGGAAATAATCGTGAACTACCCTTCCCTCTTACTTTGGAGGCAAACGAAGTGCTTGCTCAAGGAAAGTGCATTCAAAGTTCAGCGTGGTGATTTTGCGACCACTCTCTCTATATATGCTCTCAATATATATCGATATTTTTTGCCCATAGTTGTAGCTTTGCCATGCGTATGGTCTTAGTTATCTATTTTAGAATGACCAAGAGCAGAGATGAATACGACGAATGTAACAACGAAAGGAAGGTAGTTAGGGCTGCTCTGTCGACAGGATGAAGTATCGTGTCTCTGAGTACCTGTGAATTGTTTTTTCCGTTTACGTCAGCCGGATGGAACAGCTTTCAAAGTACTGGATGTGGTTTTGTTTTGATAATTGGAAAAAGACGCTTGCATCAAAGTCTCAGTTCAATAAATCAACAACATAAAAGACAAAACAAAGGCACAAAAACAGCAGCTGCAACACCTATCCCACTTTTACTGAGAGAACACGATAAGATTTTAATCGGTGAGAATGTGATTTTTGCTTTAGAACGATGTCTTTCTAGATTCCATTCCTCATTGAACAGAAGGAGATAAACTGAAAAGTTGTTATCAAAATCAGCGATCGCTAATCGCCAAGGCCACACGGCCATTCTTGACCTTTGCAAAACTACAATGACGTTGTCAGGACAAGCTATGATAAATTGAATAAAACTGTATTATGTGACGCTGGCTCGTACGCTACTGGGATACTGAGAATGTGTCTCAGTTCTTTTCATGGGTGAGCATGAAATAGCAGGTGGAAAATACGTATCGAAAAATTCAAGTTACAGATGTACAAAAGGGTGGCTTAATATGTTAAATTCTTGAAAATTGCAAAAAGCTTAAGCTTTTAGCACAAGCTAGTTTTATGTTGTTTATAGCGTTAATCTCGGGTGCTTTTAACGTTAATAATGTATGACTGTGAATCTAATTTATGACCTCATACACATTGTATATACACCATGATACTGAGAGTACACTCTGCAGAGCCGGAGTACTGCGCAAAATGGAATGAAAGCGGATGAATGTTGTACACCGAAAAAATCAAACAAAACCGCACAACATTGTATTTTAGACCCCTACAATAAACGAATTTTAGTTCAAAGTATTTCATTATACTAGAGGTCGGAAAGTATTCAGTTTCACATTCAAATTTGTCCGAACTTTTGATATTTTTTTTCCATATAAATTCATATGAAAACACCTCGAACGTCTTTGTTCAACATCGAAGCATATAATAAATAAAACATTTTTTAGACTCACTGACTCCAGTCTAAGTTAAATTTAACGGCGTCAGGCAGGCCGAACGGCTTCATAATTGATTTAGCACAATTACTTCTCAAGACGCTAAAGTTAAAATGGCCGACGTGCAATTTATGTTTCTTCGCTAGAAGTTCAGTTCTATAGACGAAACAAATGAGACAAAAGAAATGACAGTTACTATGGAAATCACAAGAGTAATTTTTACAGGACATCTACTCTCCAATAATTTGGATATATCAACAAAGTTGAAATGGTAAATTGGCCACCGTAACGATTACAAAAGCTGACGTTTCGAGCGTTAGCCCTTCGTCGAGCGTTAGCCCTTCGTCATTCGCTCCGACGAAGGGCTAACGCTGGAAACGTCAGCTTTTGTAATCGTTACGGTGGCCAATTTACCATTTCAACTTTGTTGATATATCCAAATTATTGGAGAGTAGATGTCCTGTAAAAATTACTCTTGTGATTTCCATAGTAACTGTCATTTCTTTTGTCTCATTTGTTTCGTCTATAGAACTGAACTTCTAGCGAAGAAACATAAATTGCACGTCGGCCATTTT